AATATTTTATATTTTATACGTAAATGACTTCAATTCGTAAATGACCAAAATTCAGTCAAGACCCTAATATTATGTTAGCATGCTACGCGGATGACACCGCCATCATCGCGAAGTCCAGACGACCAAACCACGCCTTGGAAAAGATTCAGCAGATTATTCCTAATATTGAAGCATGGTGTCAACGATGGAAAATTCAGATCAACCCGGAGAAGTCAAAAGTTTTAGTTATCAGAAAATTCAAGACCACAGACCCCCTCACCTGTAATGTTACATTCTTCGGGAAAACAGTCCCTACTGTAAGTACGGCAAAATACCTAGGAGTCATTTTAAATCGATCGTTTACCTGGAATACACACATAAACAGTGTGTGTGGAAAAGCGTACGGCATTGTGAAAAAGCTTTACCCTCTACTTTCTAAGGACTCTGGATTAAACCTTGCACGCAAAAGAAGGCTTTTCACTGCAATTGTCAGGCCTGTTATCATATATGCCTCCTCGGCCTGGGCAAGTGCTAAGGCAAGTGAAATTCATCGGCTCCAAGTTCTGCAAAATAAGATCCTGAGAACCATCACTAACGCCCCATACTATATTAGAAATGAAGATTTACATCGCGACCTTCATATTGATTATATCAAGGACTATATCCAAGATAAATGGAAACTTTTTCAGGAAAGCAAAGACCAACAGTACAGCTAACTTTGGGTATATTCTGAGCTACGAAATCATCCCGGACGATTTGCTCATCCGACCTTATGCTGCACACTCAATTAGGCAAGCCAATAATTAAGTGTTACTCGTCTGTACTCCATGCTGACGCTCCGTGTGCATCTTTCCATATCATCTTTTCTGACAAGGATTCCAATCTAGATTTCGACCAATCACAGTGAAGTGCTACGAGCACAGGCTACGAGCATCTTACGGACTTTGGAGTAATTACTCTGGACTTGGTCTTGGTTGGACCAGTGTTGCAAATAGCTCGCGTCAGCTCCTGAGCCCAGGCGAAAATTGCGCCGTAACCCCCTTTTCTCCCTGTTATTTCTCCCCTCAAAGGAAACTCAATCAGGTATTTTCTAATACCAGGCTCCGCATGGAACTCCTTGCATGACTGGGAAGTATTGCTCCGGCAATAGAAACCCAGTACAATACAGTACATCTCAGTATCGCAGTACCCTAGGCACGTCATCTGAGATGGCCGAAGTAAAGAACTGAAGTTTTATATTCAGTTATTTTCATTAAACGTTGAGAAACTTTATTAAATTTTTAATATTAAGTTGGCTTCTGGGGCTACACCCAAGGACAACTAGATATCTGCAGGCCTCCTCCATCGATTTGTGACGCCACAAGCGAAGGCGATCGACATATATTTATGTCACTTTTTATTTCAAACACAAAAGTCAAGTGAAATTAATTTTTACAACTTAATATTTTGAATTTTAGGAATAAATTTTAGGAATCTTTTTTTTAGAATTTTGGATACTGCTTGGACATCATTAAACGAAAGATATGATGCAATGAAAAATCACTGCGATAATTTTAGTTTCCTGGGTAATTTATCAGAAATCGATAACGCAAATTTCAAAATAAAATGTGATAAATTAGAAAAATTGTTACAGTGTGATGACAATAAAGATATTAACGCAGAAGAACTCTATGACGAAATAGTAGCTTCGAAAGACATTTTTACAGCCGGTATGAATGACCCATTCGATATTTTGAACTTAATTGTGTCAAATAAATTGTGCTTTCCCGAACTTGAAGATCGTACTGAGCATTCCTGTTAGTGTTGCTAGTAGCGAAAGATCATTCTCCAAATTAAAATTGATCAAGACAGATTTACGTTCAAGTATATCGCAGGAAAGACTCATAAATTTAGCTTTGATTGCCATTGAAAATGAAATCTGTAAAGAAATAGGTGGAAAAGAAATTATAGAAAAATTTGTAAATATAAAATGCAGAAAAAGAAAAATAAATTATTCTCAATAAATTGTTAAAATCAATTTCAACAAATGCTTTCTTTAAAATTTTCTTCTCCTATACAAAAATTTAGAAAAAAAAGGGGGGGGGCGACTTCAGCTATTTTGCAGGCGGGCGCCGGATAACCTTGCGCCGGCGCTGGTCGCCTTCCAAAAATGGTGGCAAAAAAAAATAATAAATAAGTGCACTGTATGAAAGGAGCTAAAATCTCAGTCATGAAATCAGTAAGTTAATAAAATAAGGTACTAATATGACTCATGCCTATCACTATTAATTAGTCGATAGATACTTTAATTTTTTTTTGCAAATAATTGAATTTTGTGTTGAATTCAGTAATAAATTCTCTTTAAAATGATGTATACAAGTTTGCATTTTGTGAAACGTAACGTTTTCTATAAGCATACAAAGTTCAAAAACATAAAAATTTCCAAAAGTGTCCACAATTTTGGCCACCACTGTATATCTATATGACAATAAATATTAATTCAGAAGTCAAACAACAAAAATCAGCGTTATATTTACAAAATTTTCACAGGACTAGTTTCGATGGTTTTACCGAACCACCATCTTCAGCTGCAAAACCGCAAAATGATATGTATCATATAATAAAATGATATAATATAATAAAATATATATATATATAATATATAAAATATATATATAAATATATAAATAAATATTGTTGAAATGTGAGAAAATTTAAAATATAGTAAAGTGTTGTGAATTTGAAGTTTTCATTAATTGAAACAAAAGTTGTAGTCAGAAAATGTTTAGTTAGGACTGAGCATTAATGAATTTTGCTATTTGAAACTTATTTTATATTGCCTAAAATGCAAATATCTACCCATTTTTATTACTAACCATCTCAGCATACTAGACACTTTTAATGCGATGCTGTCCATTGTAGTCAAGTCCACTCATTATAGTGGTTGTTTACACTGACCATAACAATGTTTTTTTACAACTTCTACCTCTTAGCTATGGTCTTTATGTGCAGAATTGTTATGCATGCACAAATATTAGGTATGTATCCAAGAAGCTACATGATTTTAAAGTTATTTCTGAGTAGCCAGTTTTTTCTTGAAGAAAATTGTTACAGACATTCATTGCAGAATTTACATATTGAAAGCATGATTCTGTGTGTGGTGTATAATTTGAAATTAGAGTAGAAATTATTAGAAAAAGGTCTCCTGTTTCTCAAATTCTGACCTCTGTTTACCCTTTAAAGAACTTGATTCTTCATTTGTTTTTTTATTCTCATTGATTGGTCAAATTCTTTTCAAACTGATCTTTTTTTAAGGGGGGCATAGGTATTATGACATATAATTCTGAAATTGTAACCCAACGACTTTCAAGCCTGTGGTCATGTCAAGACAGAGTTTAGAAAATGGCAAATGGCAACAGAAAAGAGTTTAAAAAGAAACATATTTTTATAAAATAATATCTGAAAAATATATATATAAAAAAAAAGCATTGGAGGGCAGACAAAGAAGGATAAATGTCAGCAATGCTGCAGGAGTTCTGTGGGTATTTTATCTTCTGGCTTAAGACTTTTACATGACTTTTAATTCTTTCTTTTTATAATGTGAATAATAAAATGTGAATGTATTTTAGCAATAAAGTTTTCTATTAAACTACAAACACAGATACTTTCAATGTAATGTTAGTTTTAAAGAAGAATAAAATATTTAAGAAGCTAACAATGCTTAAAATTATAGTATTTTGGTTATAAAACCTCATTTTATTACAGTTGAAGGCAAATATATTCAAAATTAGAATTGCAAATTTTGTTTACATTATGCCAAATTTTGAGTGGTAATTTTCATCATATTTTGAATTATGTTTACTTGACATGTTCATTTATGAAATATATGGGGATTTTCCTTAATATGTTTCATACTGCTTTTAATTAATGGGGAAGATGGAATGCTCAGAAGTCTGCTTAGATATTACATCTGATGAAAAAGAATTATGCCCATTATCACAATCAGTAAAATTTAATTCATAACTTTATTCATATGGCCTGTAAATTAGTTTTCAATCAAAAAATATTTTGTATTTTTTATATTGAAGTTACATTTAAAAGAAAGTTTTATTTAGTGCGTTCATATGACAGCTTCTAGTTAAATTTTTATGATTCATTTTTAGACATTACAACTATGATTTACTCACAGATTTCTGTTTAGAAATATCCCTATAGTCATTTAATTATAAGCTGATAACAATTCATGATATTAGTTTATTAAAATATCAGATTTAATTTCTGTAGTGTGTAATATTCAATATTAACTTTAGGTAATTTCATTCAACTTTAGGTAATGAAAGTAGACTGAGTGCAATGCATTTTTAAATAGAAAATTATTCATTTTTAAATTTAATTATATGCTTATTATTATGTTCTTTCAACAAAAAAAGTTATGTCACTTCTTTATTCTATCTAGAGAATAGTCATAATACTAGATCAATAAATTTTAAAGTTCCAAATTTATGATATTCAAATTAAATGGTTAGGTTATTTAATTATGGCAAAATCTCGAGAGCTATCTGCCTAAGGGAAGGGATGCCTTCGTGAAGGACTTTCTAAGGGAAACTGGCCTCGTATACATGTTACACATGGGGAAAACCACAAAAACACCCATGCAGCCAGCCCGTTCGCGGGATTCGAACCTCGGACCGAACTACCAGTGTTCAGCGACTTTACCACTCGGCCGCTGGTAGGCTCAAATTAAATTAAACGAATGTTATCATTGATCTCTCCAACAATTCACTCAAATCATCAGTACTTTAAAATATTAAAGTAGGATATCCATAAATTTAGTAAATACTTTTTAACGTAGGTCTCTCAATAATGTAATGCAGCTTATTGTATGAAACATGTCAGTACTTGGTATAGTTAAAGTCAAAATTTTTGTACGCTGATCATTATTACCATCTCAAAAATTTGTGAGTTGTACAAGCAACTAAAGTTGAAATTTCAAGTAGTACATAAACTAAATTAATTAAATTGTCTTAAAATTTACTTTTTAGACAACCAGTTGTAACTTCTGTTGTCCAGAGAGAAGAAAAAAGAGACAATGTTCCGCATGTTGAACATGAAACATCTAGAAGGTATGTCTATTATGTATTTAAGTATCAAATTTTAAGTGTTTTTACTTTTTATTGATTTTATGTGTAATATCTGGTTTTGCAGTATTTTTATTGCTTAATTCATAGGGCATCCAAATCAGCAACTGTAAGCAAGCCCCAGTCTAAACTCTCAAAAAGTACACGTAAAGGTGGGTTCATTTGAAAATAGTTTTTGTTTTGTGTTCGTATAACTCTGAACTAAATATAGATTTAGAAAAGATTTTTTTTAAATATACTTTTGCTTGCATACAAGTTCATTATATCATGAATGCTCGGAGGTCTGATGATAGATAGATAAAATTTATTTTATCAAATGAAACACTTCAGAGCTCTGGAACTTTCCACAGAAATACTCATATCACAGTATCACAGAGTATAATCAGTAGTTACACTTAAAATTACTAAGAATGTTAAACACAATGCAATGCAAAGCTTTCATGGATATCTCGTTCCGAAGTCATCGTGAACTAACACTTCACAACTGCAACTAACAACAGATGCTCTCTCTGGTCTTATATAGTTTTCACTGGCTGCTGAGATATTTCTAGTACTTACTGCTTCTCGAAGTTACAGGAAAGCATATGAGGGTCGAATTACAGTTACAGCTACATAGAGCATCAATTACAGTAATTCAGTTACAATGTCCAGTACAGTTACACAATGACCAATTATGTTGCCAAATGATTGCCAAACTTGGGGGCTTTTGGCAATTTCTCGGCAAATTTTTTGACAAAAATTAGTTGCCAAAACCATTGCCAGTTTGGCAATATCTCGCCAAATTAGTGAGATATCCATTTACTCAATGTTAAGTTTGCTTGCACTGTATTCTTACCTTTTCGGCAAGCTTCGCTTCTCTAGATTTCCATTTTACATTATGCAGAAAAATACAATTTCACATATAATTGCACTAAAATCATCTATGTATGTACAAAATTCATAACAATACTTTGGATTAGTTTTCTTTTTTAATTGTCCTATTTAAAAGTACTGATTCCTGAAAAAAATAATGAAATTCAAACTTCATTAATAGCTCAAGAATAAAATCAGTCTTAATTATGTACTTTTATTTTAATATCTGAACTTTAGAAAAGTGCTTTGATGAATAAAAGTCTTTATTTTAATTTTATTATAAATTCATGTCCACAGAAGCCCTTACTTGGCCTTTACTTTCACAACCATTGGCCAGAAACATATACTTCAAATTACAGAAATTTTCCAGATGACAAAGATATGTGTTTTCATATTTTTAAATTAAAATTTTTTTATACAATATGAAATCTAACTACATAACTAATCTAACATTGTACATCCATTCTTTCTTTATACTTGTTATAAAAAATAAAACAAAAAAAGTATGATTATTGTATGACAAAAATTAAGCAAAATATTTAGTTTCAAAATTTTGAAAATCACATATTTTGAATATTGAATTTACATTGAGTGGTCAGTTAATAAATAAATTGGAATAATTCACGCTCAGTTATTTCTGCCTTAAATCCATTCAATGTTATTTTTTTTAGATTTACTGTTGTCTTTATGATTTTGTGACATCTAGTATGCCAAAAGATTTTCTCACAAATAGTTAAGTTTTCAAAGTCTAAAACTATATTACTAATATTCTCATGAACATTTATTACTTTAGAATCCTAGTCTGGTTATTGTACAAAAATGTATTGAAAGTATAAATATTTGTCATTTAATGCAAATAACATTACAAGTTGGCTACATGCCAGCTCTGAAACCTGTCAATGTTTTCTAGAATATGAATTCTGTACAATTCCGTGAATAAGGTCTCTGGTTTGAAAAAAATTACATTGACCAATATTTTTCTCAATAATCTGCATAGAAATGGTTATTTTGTAATCTCTTAGCAAAAGAAATATTTTTCTAAAATGATTTTTTGAATTTTGTTTTCGTACAAATGCAAACATTTCGCTCTTCAACTTGCATATGGTCCCTGAATACAATTTCTGATTTTCATACAAAATGTCTTGGTAAATTTTTGCCCTGCAGGAGTCAAACTTCATGATTTTTTATGCTGAGTACAAAATATTCCTAAATATTAGTATTATGGACAGGAGGAATGTGGAAAAATTTGTATTTTATATAATTTTAACTTCAAAATATGACAGCATAAATCACTGTGTCATTTAAAACATTTTTGTAATGAGAAGTATATGTCTGCAATGAAGGTTGCGAAATTAAAGGCTGGGTAGGGACTTTTGTAACACAATGTGTAATTTTTTTTGGGGGGGGGGGATGGTTTCAGATTTTATTTCCTTTAATGTTGATTTTAGACCTACCTTGAATTATAAAAGTTTCTTAAGTCAAAAAATTAATGAAAGTAGTTTCCACACTGTAGATAGGAGGGCTTTGGAAATATAAATTGTATTTTTACTATATAGGATAACATTTTCTAGCAGTAAAATACAAGCATTTTCATGACATTACAGAATTATTCAAGAATGAAATTACTTTTGAATACTTATTAAAAATTCATGATTATTTTATTAAATTTAGGCAGCAATCACAAAATAAACATTTTGCTGATTACTGGTTTCTAGCCATGTAAAACATCACATGATTAAATTAGTAGTTGATGCCTTAAAATATTAATTATGCATAACCATGCAAATGTTTCATGTATTCATCACATGATTAAAATATCACATGATTAAATTAATAGTTGATGTCTTAAAATATGAATTATGCACATGTTTCATGTATGTGTAAGAGTACTAAATGATTCAAAATTGTTTTCTTAGAACTGTCAGCTTTATCAATAGTAATGGAAATAAAGTTTAGAATACTTGCTTACTGGTGGTCATCATTCTTACATTCTATATCAATTTTGATAGTACAAGATACATTTTCTTTTAATATAAATGATCATGCGTTTTTTATGCGCCAAAGATGCAATAATTCTTAGATATTCTCTTTTATGAGTAATAAGACTTGGATAGAAATTTAACAGGAACATTTAACATACAGCTTTAACATTGTTTTTATCGATATTGTAAAGATAAAAATTCAAAATGCTAACTACAAATAAGCAGGTAACTTACATTATAAAATATTAATGCTTTATAATTTTTTGTTATTCGTATTCTTACATTTATTGAATAATCAGTTTTAGGTCTGGATACCTCTTCAGGATCAGAAATGGAGATTGAAGCAAAAGTGCCTAAAAACAATGATGTAGATGATGATGATGAATTTGACTTTTATGATTGAAATATTTTAATGAATATTTATTTTGTTATGTAGTCATATTTTAAAAAAACAGAAAATTTTATTTTTTTGTTCTTATCGAATTTTAATGCATAGAAAAATAAACTATATAAAGTAATCATGAATTTACCCCTGATTTATACAATTTAATAGAGTCATGTAATCTCATACAGAAATTCTTGTTTTGTAAGGCACTGACATACTGAAAAATTTATTTACAAAATAAACAAAATATTCATTAAAACTGTTAAACACACACTAGATGAGATTTTGGTTTAATCCATGTTATGGCTATGTATAGCTTGAGGGTTAAAGTAAAAGAAGTTATTTATACTGAACTTGTTATGATGGGATAAAACACAAATTTAACATTCCAATATCTGGGTTAGATATTTAAAAAAGGAGGAGGGACTGAATATTGTTTAATGCACCTATTATGAAGTGGGCATAATTTTATTTTTTATCCTTTTGTCTAAATCTCTGCAATGTATGAAGTATTGAACATACAGTATGATTCAGGCATCTAGAAACATCTTCCTATTTCTTAAACCATTGCAGGTACTGGAACTAAATATGGTGAGAGTGCAAGCTAAAATTACAATATTCTAAAAAGGAAAAGACATATTACAAATATATATATATATATATATAGAACATTGAATGTATATACATTAGAACATTGAATGTATATACATATATATATATATATGTATATACATTCAATGTTAAGAAAGAACCGTAACTTGCTAACTTATACAGCCAAACATGACAAACTGAAGTTGTTATGAAGGAATGAAAGAAAATGTTAAAGCAAGGGATTTGATCAACAAAATATTTAAAATATTGAAAAATAAATAGAAAACATTCCAGATTAGATCTGTTGAGAAAATGTAAAGTGAAAGTGTGATAATAGAATCTCTTGTCATCTAAAAAATTATTTAATTTTATACAAAAATACATGCATCTCAGTAAAAAAAACATTACTCAAGTTAAATGGTTTTGTTCCCTTTATATAAATCAGTAGTTCTTCTTAAACTTTTAAAACCAACTTTTCAATCCAGGAGGTAGTCGTTTTTAGGCGCAGGATAAATATTGAATCTAGATTTTCTAGGCCAATCCCAGACGTTTTGTAATTCTGCTGAAGAATAGAAAACATTATCTGTTTAGAGAATGAGCATTATAGTTGGATTTCCTGAATCTTACTTGAAATTTTCAAACTGGAAGGAAATTTTATGTTTTTTGTGTAGTTTACACATATATGGTAATACTTGACATCATATGTTTTTATGCATGTGGTTTTTCTTTTAAAGTATAGACAGAAATCAACTCACTTTTGTGACATGTGTGTATGTGTAGATTTCCCTCTAAGAAAGCAAATGTGTTTGCAGTTAGTATTTGGAAGAAGTGCAATTGGCTCATTTTACCTTCCCTGCTGAATTACTTAATTTTTGCTGGTATTCTACCATATTAGAAACATACTAACAATTATTTTTATTTAAAGTTTTGAAATTCCTCTCAGCATTATTGTATAAAAGGAATACATATTAGAATATACATATGGTCAAGGTACATAATACTGTACCTTGACCATAGGACAAACCTAACTTGCAGATAGTGGCATTAATATTTTTTATATGTTCCCAATAGCAGCAATGTATACATGTTATTTCAACTGTCTATGATCTTTATTTTTTAGGGATGATATCAGCCATCATTTTTTATCTGTTTTATTTCTTTCCATCCTTTTTAACTGAAAAGAATAAAAGATCTGACATGGTCTATCTATTCTCCAGTATAGTTTGCCATCCTTCATATTTAGTTGAGGCATTTGGAAGAAGTACAACAGTAGACCCTTTTTACATTATATCGAATAATACAAGTCCATCAGGCACTTTCAATTATAATACTAAATGGCAATAGCAGCACACCTGTAAAAAAATCTGACTATTTCTCTCTTGGTATAGACCAAGGGTTCTCAACTGGTGGTACGCACCAGAAAAATAGGTGGTATGCAAAGAAACAAAAGTATTTTTAACTATTAAATACAAAAATTAAATACCCCGACATCCTGAATCTAAGCATGACAATTTAAAGGATAAGTCTGAAGAATATATTAAGAGGAATTTATTGGAGTTCAAAAACAATAAACAAGTAATAAAAGGTTTTGTTACTTCAAGTGAAAGAGCTTTGGAAGCTAGTTACTTAGTAAGGCTAAGAATTGCCAAGAGTGAGCAGGCTCACACTGTTGGAGAAAACCTTATATTACCAGCAGCTAAAGGTACAGTTTTGATGTTAGTTATTCAACGAAAAAGCGACTAATGAGCTTAATAATATTCCATTATCAAATGATACAGTAAGTCAACAAATTCCATGCAAGAGACATTTATTCAAAAAATTAAATGCAGTTAACATTTGGCATTGCAGTTGAATGAAAATACTGATATAACAAACTTCGTTCAGTTATTAATTTATGTACATTTCGAAGAAAATAAACTAACTGTCGAAGAGTATTTATTTTGTGAAGCTCTTCATGATAGAGCAACTGTAAATGAAATTTTTAAAATAACTGACAATTTTATGTCTGAGAATGATATTCCTTGGAATAAGGGGATGGAGCTTGGGCTTTAACAGGAAGACATTCCACTGTTACTTCTCAAATAATTTGCACATTAAGCTAATTTTACACACTGCTCCATTCATCATGAAGCTTTAGTAGCAGAAACAAGCCTCGAGAACCTGAAAATCATTTTGAATCAAGCTGTGAAAATTGTTAATTTTAGTAAAATGCGAGCTTTAAATTCAAGAATATTTTCAATTTTATGCCAAGAGATGGGCAGTGAACGTGAAACAATTTTGTTACATTCCGAAGTAATCCAGAGGCCAAATTTTAAATTGTCTTTTTGAACCCCGATCAGAAATTCAGATTTTCCTGTGTGATTCAAAATTTGAATTGTGAAAATGTTTAGTGAATTATGGTTGGTGCGTTTAGCATATTTAGCTGATATAGATTAAGTGATTTAAATTTAGGATTACAAGAACAAAGTGTTGTTTGCCATTAAACATAAAATAAATGCAACGATAAAAAAACTTAAGCTAATAATCAAAGAATTGTATAATAATATTTTTAGCTTTTTACCACATTTAAAAAGTTTTCTAACCAAAAATAATTTGAAAAAAGAATTAGCATCCAATATTAAAAATCATTGTTTTTCATTGATAAATAATTTCAACATGTATTTTCCTGAGGAATATGAAAAAGAAAATTGCATTAGAAATCAATTTTGTTGAAATGTACCTGAAATTTTGTCTCTCGAAGAAAAAGAACAATTGATAGAAATTTCCTATGATCAAACTGTAGCTGAAGATTTCAAAAATAATGCACTGGATAACTTTTTGCTGAACTATAAAAAGATTTTAAAAGTATTTCAAATAAAGTTCTTAAAATTTTTTTGCCTTTTTGTGCAACCTATTTGTGTGAACAAGAAATTTTCTTGCATGTTTTATTTGAAAAATAGAGAACAAAATTAAAAGTGGATCCTAATTTATGGTTAAAACTAAGTGAAATAAGACCAGACATAAAAAAATTGATCTATCTTAAACAGGGCCAAATTGCACATTAAATTTTAGGATTAAAGTATTATAACTTAAATTTTAATAATTAAAATGGTAATCAATTTTTAATATATTTTTATGTGTGCATCTTTAATACAAATTACCAATAGGTTGTGCAAATGACAATATATATTTTTTAATATTTCTGTTGAGAAACTGAAATAAATCATTAGAAAATGTAACTGTTAAGTGAGTAGTGGTGGTACTAAAGTTTTTCAATTTTTTTAAAATGGTATGTGTTAGTCAAAAGGTTGAGAACCACTGATATAGACTGTGTTCTTTTCTCTCATAAGACAAATCTTGTACAGTGAGTGATGGGTTAACGAACAGTTCCGGACTGCAAACAAATTGGACAACGAACACTTTCATGAAAGTGTGTGTGTGTGTGATTATGGCAAAGCCTCGAGGGCTATCTGCCTAAGGGGAGAGATGCTTTCGTGGAGGACTTTCTAAGGGAAACTGTCTCGTATACATGTTACACATGGTGAAAACTACAAAAACGCCCATGCAGCCAGCCCATTTGCGAGATTCGAACCGTGGACCGAACTACCAGTGTTCAGCAGCTTTACTGCTCGGCCGCTGGCGGGCCCACTTTCACGAAAGATTTTTGTGTTCGGACAACGAACTAAAATGAATTCTAACGAACACTTCTCGGCTCTCAAAGCGTAATGTGCAGGTTTGCCAAAACCAAAGGACCAAAATCGTTTTTCATCTCTCTTGAATTATGTTGCTTGCCTATTGAACTTTAAAGTTATGTATTGAATTTTTTTTCCAATAGAATATTTATAACCAAAGTAGACCATCAGTATTCAAAACCGAAACTGATTTCATTTTGAGCGCCTCCCCTCTTGTTCATTCGCCGTCCCATGCGTAGTCTTGAATGACGCATTCCAGATGGCAGACTCCTTTCCTCTCACGGTGAAGCAATATGCATCTAGTTTCCCTTCCAGTTTCTTCTATTCATTTATTCATATCGCTGATTCAGCAAATTTATAGTAGAGAACGGGAGGATAGTTCACTTTCATTTAGAAGCAAACCACAGCATATCAGTTGCTTCAGAAAATGCATGATTAGTACCTTTTTTCATAATAACGCATTCGAGGCTGTAGCGCTGTTTGAAAATACCACTACTGTAATTATCACCTATGTTATTTCATACAAAAAAAATTGAAAACCCAAAGTTTCAAAAAGTCACCACTTTTTAGAAAATAGTCATTTTTAGCCCTTTTTACTTCCTTGTACAAAGTAAAAAGGAAGTATTGTAATCACGAAAAGTTTCAGGCAGCATATTTCAACGAAAATATCCATTCTGACCGCTATCGAATGCAATTTAACTATGTTTTTGTGTGATATCTGTACGTAAGGACAGAATAAAACTCCTTTTCCTCCAAAAAATGATAAAACTGCTTTAAAATTAATTCTGAGAAATTTTCGTGGTGTCTGTACGAAGTATGTACGTACATTTGTACGTATCTTGCATAACCAAAACGAGTAGCCTCGAACGTTGAAATTTTGTATGTAGGACTGCTATAACTGTAGATGTGCATGTCATATTTTGGTTGCAATCGGCCGCACAAACATATATAATATTTATATATTATCCACTCTGTTTACCTGGCTCAGTGATCTCAATTTCTTTACTCG